TCAGATTGTGACGTATACTGCACTAGCTTAGGTTTTTTACAGTCAGCCGAGCAATGTTCTCCTGTACGACATTATATTGCTGGTTTTAGCTGGTTTTTAATCATTCCCAAGAAAATGTAATTACAAAAGACACTGCGGTCATGTTGGATGATATAACAAAATGTACTAATGACGAATCTTTTATCAAATTCATCTGTGAAAACCATCGATATGCGGTTAATCTGCTAAGGTACGAATGTAAGGTTTGTCTTTGATAAACTTCGACAAAACTGTTATATGTTGTTTATTGTGTTTTAGCAAGACAATATTAAGTAAGCTTACTTAATATTCTTTTGGTTTTAGTTGGTGACTGTATAAACGTTGGAGCTTGATCAATAATCGAGACAATAAGTATGATCTTCAGTGATTGTGAAGTCAGGTATTTGATCGCCGACATTGCCATGGATCACTCAAGTATCTTAATAAGGCCTGGGTGAGTGGCCAAGATACCAACGTTATGGACGTTCGCAGGGAAATGAAGTTGCAATCAGAATTTTTTAAACATGGCATAAACATACCCCAACGTATTCTTGTTCAAAGAATGAATTAAAAAATGGGGGTCATCGAATTGATTTTTTAAAACAAAGAAAAACTGGGGCACCGAATCGGTTTCCGAGATATTTTGCCGTAAAGAAGTGAAAAATGGGTTTTCTTGATATTTTGCCCATCAAAACATTCGTATGATGTCATCACTATGAGCGTGCGCGCAAAAACTCATGCGTAAAGTGGCTGCGCGCGAACGATGCCCGCGAACAATATATGACATCTTGATGGTCACGTGACCAGTATAATCAATCAATCAATCAATAAACTTTATTTAAAGAGGGTAAACACGTAACAGTACTAAAAACTGACAAACCTGTGGCCCTAAAGAGAAAAATGTTTTTTTACCACTTAATTATATCCATTTTTGCACTTAATTATATGCCTATTTTGCATAATATCCTCTAAACGAGAAATGGTAGTTCAGGTGTTAGGGCAGATTCATATACATCTTATGGGGAGAAATAAAGATATGCCATAACATTTTATGTACAGATGATAATCATCACCCCATCTTAATTCAAATTATTTGGGTGCATGGAAGTGAGAATCAAGATCACATGACCACCTTACCTCAAAAATTTTCATCCTAGAATCTTAAACTTATGAAGTTATGTGGCCATGCCAATTTTGGTAAGGATTGAGAAAGAAATGACAACATAATTAAAATAAAATATATGATTCTAGCCGATGGCCTTCAACACAGGCCTTGACATACTTGAGACCAGTAAAAATTGGTCACGTGACCCTTTTTTTTTTTTTTGGCGCGACACGGCACGCCTGAGCGGATATTATAATGGCACTTTTAAACAAGATGTAGGCAAGACTGGAAGTAATAATACGAAAACAGCGGCTATATGGCCTCTGAAAATCTCAGAAAAGCTTGTTATTTAAATGTAAATGTGTTATCTAAATATAATCTGGTACGTCCAAAAGTTATGGAGTGGAGGAACGCCAAAGAAAGTTTACTACCGACAGGAAGAAAAAACATCATCATCCGGTATTTCCAAAACACCAGAATATGCTGGGTGTCAAGAGCCGGATTTGTCACGTGACCAATCAACGCCAGGGCCTTCTCTCCTCTGCGTGAGAGTGCCCTGGGAACGAGGTTGCTTATTTGAACATAAAATAAACTAAAAATATATATCTGTGTACAGCAAATATCCGTGCTAGCTAATAATCCACTCATTACAAACGTTGATGTTGAATAAAAGTTAATATATATGTTAAGGCACTGCCTAAAAGCGGAGCTCCCGACACGAAAGTCGCAGGTAGCCCAATTTGAATGAATCAGAAAGGTAAAAATTAGCCTGCGTCACATTACAGGGAGCCCAATTTAGATTAAAGTGAATGGTGAAAATAGAATCGGAAAAATTAAATAATTAATATTTTTTTAAATTCAAGATAATGTCCTCGGTAATGCGAAAGAGCAAAAAATAAATAAATAAATAAATAAATAAATAAATAAATGAAAAATGCACTAGAACATTTTTTTTTTCGCGCGCGCCTTTGTTTCCCTATATAATTTCCCTATGGTATCTGATGTTGATCTTATGTATATATATACTCTGACAAGGAAGGAAACTGCAGTCGCCATATTTGAAGAGGGTTGTCCAAAATAGACGAACTGATACGGATGGTAAAAGTTGGTTTACCATTGGTACAGTTGGTGAAAGTAATTAACATGCAAAAGTTGTGCATATCATTAACTTGTTTAATGTGTGTATACTAAATATTTACATGACGTGGTTATGAATGACGTCGTCATACGTAATCATTTAGAATATTAAGTAAAAAAGGACTTTGAAAAAATTTTTAAAAAAAAATTAGAACCCTCCCATCACCAAATATATTACCAATGGTACATTTTGGTTTTCATGGCAAGCCATGAATAAATAATCACCAACTGTATAAACTGTACCAATGGTAATACATTTGGTGAGGGGGCCCTGTCTTTGTGTCTCATTACGTATGCACACTTTACCACAGGCAACCCGATGATAAATTGGCCTACGAAGACAGGGCCCCCTCACCAAATGTATTACCATTGGTACAGTTGGTACGTTTGGTGAAAAATAGAATTGGTCACCCTGTGGTAAAGTGTGCATACGTAATGA